GAGTCACTCAAATTTACTCAAGTGCTTGATCAGATCACAACATGGGTGCCATCAAACTTGAAAAACTACTTTTTTCCCATGTTAGCCCTGGGGACAGCATGTTAGCATGCTAACATGTTAAATGCTACATGCTGAGATGATGAAAAGGACTTTTTTTTTTACACCCACCATCGCATTGTGTTGTCATTTGACTGTAACACCTGTGAACACAACAACAACACAAAGTAGAAGGCTCACCTACACAACATGTACCACATATGGAGTTGGCCGTCTGATTAGACTTTGGTGTGCCTTGTAGCATGCTTATTAATGAGTTTCTAAAATGAATGTCTGTTAGCTTGATAACAGATTACTTGAGCATACACGTTTTTGTCATGGGCATCATGGTGGAACAATCCAAGTGTCTCTTGCTTGTCATCTGTATTGTTGTGTGTTGTTATATCAGGCTTGAACTTGCTCTTTATGAGCTGCTACTCGGACTCAATGTCCCATTTTGTGCCTCGCGCTCCAGGGACATTAGTCTTGCTCACAATGTGTCTGATCCAGAGCGACGGTGCACAAAGTGCTGTAAACATAATTTGTGAAATTACTGTCATTTTGCACAGCAGTACATCTGTTCATTCTTTTTTATTGTATGGTTTAATAATTTACCAAACAGATTATTAAAGATGTTAGGACATTTTCTTTGAGACAGCTACTGATGTTCTGACAAACAATATGGGATGATGTCAACCTTGGTTACTCTGCTGTCTTTTTGTAGCCACCTCTGTCCGACAAAAATACAAAAACATACATGTAGGATGCATTTTAATAAGCTAACTGCAGCATGTGAGCGTGTTCAGTATCACTCATGAACTCAGGGTCCAGCATTACAAACGATACAAATGAAAATGGATGATTATATTTTTAAAAGCGATTTCGGTTAATCAAGGGTATAAAATGGCAACATACAGTGTAATGCAATACGTTTGTGCAAAAATAATTTCTTCAATTAACTGATAACATCGGGTACAGAGAGAACAGCAGACATAATGTTACTGAATATAAGATTCTTATTATTAATGGCCGTGCAACACGGTTGAGCAGCTAAATCAGCTCGAGGTGTTTTGGGTGCTGGATGAAAACTTTTACTCTCAGGAGCTACAGTTGTGGGTCACTGAATAACATCAGGTTGAAGCAGTATCCTTTGTCTGCCTTTCACATAACCCTTTAACAAATGTATTATGTTTCATTGTACCTCTTGTTTGCATCAGTTTTTTACTTAATGGTTTTTGTTGTGAAAAAGGTTTCAACAAATAGTTTTTGTTGAAGATGTTATTGCTGAATCCTTCTTAGGTTAAGAAAGATGATATAAGTGCATCAATTTCCTGTAAGTGGGACTAAATATGTACCACTGACATGTTGGCCACTTGGGACCAAGGTCATCTGACGTGTTCAGTAACTTTGGACTCTACTCTGTTTCCTTTACCTGTGGAGAGAAATTGTTCTGTTTTCTCTTCACGGATGCATTTATTTTTGTATGACTGAGTATTTAAAGGAAAATCAAAACAACTCGTTGATTCTGAGGGACAAATTCTAACATCTGACATTTACTCTGGTCTCCATTACGGGGACATTTTGTTCTGCTGTATGTCGGCACAGAAGCGTCAGCCGAATGACCCCCTGTTTAAATGTTGAGTGGTTTACACTGAACAGCAGGAGATGGACCTGGTAGGTTACATAAGGTAGATTTGAGCTTTGATTTCCTCCAGGCTCTCCTGCTCTTTGCTGAGGTTCACCTGCTGCCGGTGGCTTCGTGCCCACCTTCTGTCAGTGTTTAATTCTGGCCCAGGCCTCCACCCTCCTTTTCTCCTCCCTCTCCCTCTCTCTCTTCACCTCTCTGTCTTTGTACCTTAGAATTCTAATCTTTTATTCATTTCACTGCTGTCTTTTCATCCCTTCTCCACCTCCTTGTCTGTGCTTGTTTATTTTTAACACATACCAGCATCCTGATATTAGAGGCGTGACATTCAACGTAATGTCCATCATCCAAGGTATACCAGATAATGTTGTTTTCAGATCAGCAATGGCGGTTGAAAGGTGTAGGGATGTGCTTTTGCTCATCCTGCACATTTACAATATGACCCGGACTCGGTGCTGTGCACTAAGTGCAACATGTTAGTGATTATGGCCATAGATTCTGTTTCTTGCAGGGAACGTCACAGAAGCACTTCATCAAAGCTTCACACTTCTCCGCCCACAACCCCCAAAGCCTCCTCTCTCATTTTAATCAATACCGTCACAGTTTGTTGTGCTGTCCACTTGCGACAACACTGGCAGCAGGAGATGTGTGCGTTCACAAACTATCCTCTCGTTTCTAGGAAGAGGCTTTCTGACTGATATCACTTTAATCGTTCTGAAATAATTACAGTATCTGTAGTTATGAGGGCTGATAAAATAATCTAGAGGTAACAGAGATTAAAAATTAAATGGCTAGAAAGTAGCATGTCATGGGCCTTTTAAAGGGATAGATTCTACAAGGTATACGGCCAATGTTCCAGTAGTTTCATGTCAAAATATGTGGTTTCAATTTAAACTACTTTACTTAACTTCTCTTTTTTCTACTTGTGCTTCATTTATTGAAGCATGTCGCGCCACTGTTATGGATGAAAATCTGTGCAGGCTGGTAGAATATAGCTTGAACAAGTTAGTGAGCTGAAAATAGGTTGATGTCTTTAACAAATGTTAACTAAGGTCTCTAGTGATTTTGCTATAGTGTTTGCAAGGCAGCAAACCAGTGGTCAAGACTGGGGTTGGTGTTTTTGGTTGCTTACTTGCCTGTAATAAGTTGAACCAGCATTAACTATCCATCTATCTATTTTCTAAACCACTTAGTCCCAAACGGGGTCACGGAGCCAATCCCAGCCAACTGCGGACGAGAGGCGGGGTACACCCTGGACAGGTTGCCAGTCCATCACAGGGCTAACACACAGACGAACAACCATTTACACACACAATCACTCCTACGGGCAATTTAGAGACACCAATCAACCTAAGCTGCATGTCTTTGGACTGTGGGAGGAAGCCAGAGCGCCCGGAGAGAAAACTCCACACAGAAAGGCCTTGAGTCAGCCAGGGGTCAAACCCGGAACCTTCTCGCTGTGAGGCAACAGCACTAACCACCGCGCTACCGTGCAGCCTGCATTAACTATTTTATTTTCATTAGTTGTCTACTCACCAAATAAGATGTTGTGCATAGAGAACTGTGCCATCATTTAGACCATACTCCAGTCCTGAGTGAGTGAAGTTAGAGTAGTTTGGCAAACAACAAATATGGAAATTTCAGTCTGGAAATTCGAGAATGCAAATGTCATTTTGGCAGTGATGTGGTGTCAAAGTCAACACAAGGCCTCTGCTGTATTGTCTACGAGGTCTCCAGGGTACATCTGGCATAAACATAAATGTGGTGTTAAACAAGATTTCTCTTGCCCTGCTGCAAAAATGACCCTACAGCACCTTTGGCAGGTTTATTTGGCTTTATTTGGCTAACTGCACAACAATCCACCTTGGAAATTTTCATCTGCTTAATGATGGGAGATGGCGCCAAAAACCAGAAACTGTTATTGCAACACATATTCTCAGGGGCAAAACAAGGAGATTCTTAATCTTCCTTGTTCCAGTATTTGTCAGGGTGATGAATTACTCTCTATTGCTACACCCTCCTAAACAGAGTTTTGACCCTTAGAGGCCACTGTAAGCTGTGCCACAGGTCTGTCTTTTTGTCATTTTAAATGTTGATAGGATAGGAATTACTTAGTATTTTTATTCATGAGATACCGCCCACCCACATTATCCTCAGTTAAAGCCCAGAGCCACAGGTTCGGTGGCTGTATGCAGCGAGTTTCTGTAGTGTTTACACAACAACAACACAAAGCCCGTCAAGTTTCTACTGCAAATACAAACCACCACAGCTAATTACTGGTGTCTGTTAGGTGGATATGGCTTGAATAAGCCCACTGTTAGTGCCTGCTGAGTCACATGGTCACACCCAGACTGGTCAGTAAAGCAACAAGCAAACTGTGACATTGCTTCAGCTTGTGGTTAGTTAATAACAAATTAAATGCCCAAACAAATGTTGTTGTCAATATACACACTGTAAATGTGTTTCTGTTAGAGCCAGAACAACAAGATACTTAATTGATTAGGTGATTATCAAAAAAAAAAATAAGTAAAACCTTGCCGAACAATATTGATGATGATGGAAATTTGCTGCCTTTTTTTGTTTTGTATCATTCTAGACTGAGTCTTCAGGTTTTGGGCTGTTGGCTGGACAAAGCTATTTGAAGATGTCACCTTGGGCCCTGGGAAGAAGCTTACTGGTATTTCTCAGTCATTAATTTCAATCATAGAATATGCAATCAATAAATTGATACAAAAAATGTAAATACCGTGAGCTGCAGCTGCATACACTGTTTCCAAGGCAGCTGAGAAATAAGTCAGAACTCGAACAGATCTGCAGGAAAATAGTGAAACATGTCACAGTTACTCTTTGTTTCCCATTTCTAAGTTCATTAAATAAAAAGTAAGAGTGCATTTTATTTTAAAGAGCTGCTAATTTTATGTCTTTGCTGCACAGCTTGTATTTTTAATTGGAATAAAAAATAAGCCAAACATTTGCATACAACTGCACTTAGGCGTTTTCTTTTTCATTTCTGTTCAGCTTTTGCTTTTATTATGTGAAAGATTATTTAGCAGATCACTAAAAGTTCTGTACTGAATCAAATGACAGACCTCACACACATGCCTGCACACCCCAGAAGCACAGTCCTGGACGAGGCCCAAAGGCCTGAGGGAAGCGGGGGTGGGGTGGGCGGCACAGCCCACAATCTGGGCACATGAAAGGTGTGTGTGTGTGTGTGTGTGTGTGTGTGTGTGTGTGTGTGTGTTGCAGATAGAGAGGAGGGACAGTGTGAGAAGTGGGTGGAGAAGGGACTCCTGAGGGAGTGTTGAGGTGTCTCAGCAGCACTTTGGTTCAGAGCCTCTGAAGGCGCTGAGGTTGAAGTTGGCTGCGGTTTAAACACACTCCTACAACTCTCTGTGTGTGTTTCTTTCCTTTTGCATGGACTTGACACCAAACCGCCATGGGAGCACGCCAGCTGTGGCTGTCCTGTCAATGGATTTTTAAAGTTTCTCAAGTGTGAGGGGAGGAAAGGGACAGATATTCCTGGAAGTCGCCTAACTAGACCTCAGGTGAGTTATCCTTGTCACTCACCATGCCTTCCTTACTCCACATCAGACTCCTGCTTATTGTGGAGCATAACACCACTATTGCCACTATTTAGTATTACAGTATTACTAAACTCTGACCACGATGATAAATAAACACTAGAAGCAGAACACAGAAGAAGGCTTTTGCACGTTATGCTCTTTTATCAGTTACAATCATGCATTTAAGAGGTTTCCATTAAACTTTGTGTTTTGTGTGATTATTCTTGACAAAAGAAATGTGAAATTTATGGGAGCCAATCACTAAAGCAATGTGCTTTATTTCAGAGTGAGAGGGAAAAGACTGAGTGTTTGAGTTTTGTGAAGGATTTGTAGCCTCTGTTTTAGACAGTTGCATAGGAGGAGAGGCAGAGCGCAGCAATTAAGGCACATGTCAATGCTTGTTTGAAGGACAATGAGTTGCTCCTGTCACCTATTTTTTTTCTCTAACGCTGATTCTTCTGTGTGGAATGATACTGCTCAGTCATATTTTTGCAGCAGTGCAACACCAAAGCTTTGACTCTTGGGTCGGGATGTAGTTGCTCAACGTGAGTCCTGTCACTTGGTCAATCAGTACATAGTGTGAAATGGATAATGGCATTTGTGAAGGATGGACTTAAAGGACTGACAGATTCCTTTCTTAAAAGTAGAAAATAAGGCCAGGCTAAAAAAACACTAGCACTTTTATAATGCAGTACAGTTTGCCAGCAGCACAAACTTCCAAAATGATCATAAAGTTGAATTAACACCTCTCTGAAACAGTCAGAACAAAAACGGAACATTATCAACTTCAACCAGGAGGAGTTAGAGCAGAACTGTTGGATCTGACTGAGTTTTAGTTTGGTGTACTTAATAAACTGACAGCTGAGTGAAGGTGGTTGTTTACTAAACAAAATGGTTCACTAATTTTCCTGAACATCAGTTGATCTGAAGGTTTTCTGAAGCTATATTAACCAAATAATAGTTTTTTATCAGCCTGGGCAGGCACCGTATCTCTGACACAGCACAGAAGTTTGTTAAAGTAGGATAAAATCTAAAAGTTTTTTTAAGGTTCTTTCAGAAATGCTGAAATGTTACAAACACATGCAAACCATTCATTCTGCTCTGAGAGCCTTTAAAATGATCTGATGGGTAATTTAGCAGTGACCGTGCTGATAACCAGGCATAAAGTCTAGTCTTAGCTGGAAGGAGGGATGGAGCTGCCCACTGTGAAGGAGGGAATGGATGAGTCCTGAAAAAGTCTAAAATCCACTGATCTGAAGTACAAGTCATAAATGCCATTATGATAGGTCTTAAAATTATCGACCATGCTTAGGTTAAATTGGTTATTTTAATGTTAAGTTGACATTACTGGTTAGAATTTATGAGAGAACGCTCAGTTTTCTTATTGTGGTGTGTGAAATAGTCTAATGTTACACACACCCTGAGTGGTCGTTTTTGTTACTTTCACCTTAAATTGTAGCCAAAGGAGTTTAAAAAGTTTTAAATATAATATATATAATTTGTCCGATTTTACTATCGTGCACAATGAACGTACAAAGGTATCTTTCCTTTAGTATTTGTAGTTTTCATTATGAGTCTATTGTGAGCAATGTTGCTCATCAGTGGAAGTGAGCTTGTCAAAGTGAAGTTGTATATTTGTAAATTCTTTGCACCAGTGATCTATAAACAAAGCTTTATTTATCAAATACTGGATGTTCCAATTTTATACCTAAAATATTTGGTGCCTAATGCACATGAGAATTAAAAATGGTGACAAAGTACCTGAAATATTTAATTGGCTAGATGGGTTAACAACAGATTTTTTTAGTAATTTTACATGTAGACTAATTTTAGAGCACTTTCAATATTGCAACATTTATCATATATGTGATAAAAGTTTACATATACCATGACAGAGGGTTTCTCAGGATGGCTCATCCAACACACACACTGCCCCATAGAACATTAGAATATAGTTAAATCAACAGTGTGAGGCATGAAATACTGAAAGCCAAAGTCAAACCTCAAACATTAGAATATGTGCTTGCTCATTTTGTTCCAGCTGCTGAATATCGAACATTTTAATTTAATTTATTTAAGATAGACACAGTCTGTGTTCCTGGGGCATCTGAGTTTCAACAGGGTGCTCTGTGGTCCTGATAGGGTTAAGTACCCCCAGGCCAGAACAACACAAGGCTGTTAGTTCATTCCAATGTACCCACTCAGCTCTAGTTTAAAGCGTCCATGTTCCGGCTTCATGCTGTGGGAGTGAGAGTGGTGAGGTCGGAGGCTGCACCCTTCCAGACTAGGGGATAGGACTGTAAACTCACCCTCACATAATCCAGGTGATCTGGTCTGAAACTAGACTCCTGTGAAGGTGTTAGCTGCTGAGGACGTTCTGCAAGAATTAACGGCTTAGTTTTCAGTGACTGGTTTTTTTAAAGAAGAGACTATAACAAAGACAAGCTTTGATTCCCAGATCCAGATTAGATCAGACAAAACTTGGATTTAGTGTAAGGAGTGCTGTGTGAAAAGCTGAGTTAAAAAAAAAAAGCCTCTCTGGCTTAGAATTCAAACTTCGGATGCTATTGTTGTCTGAAATGTAGTGATGTTGTCCCAGTAATAATGTAGCCCATCAGGACCTGAATGAGAACAGAAAAATGATCATGACCTCAGGTCAAAGGTCAGAGTCATCGAGGTGTTAAACAACACTGACATGTCATCACTAAGGGTCTCAAGAATCAGTTCAGGTTTTTGGTGTGACTTCAGGATCAATCATCAATTTCTCATTTGAATAAACAAAAGCAGTGTTTTCAGGGTCTTACTCTACTCAGATGCAACGTGAAGTTTAGCTCACTGGTCACCGTGTGACCAAACAGGAAAATCCAGAGAAAGGTGTGTTTGCAGTTCTTCTATTTAAAAAAAGTCGTCTGTATGAATTTACGAGCTTCTCACAGTTTTGTGCTCATAATTATTTTCTTTGCCTCTTTCACCAGGATTGATGGGAAGTTGTGTAAATTGTTACAGTTTTTGTTGGCGGGCTGCCGTGTTTGCTTTTTTTTCTTTTTCTTTTTGGTAATTCAATTTTTATTGAGTTTTTAAAAGGGTCCACAAGCCTACGTTTACTTTCTTACTGAGCTTATCCTGTCCATCCAGAACCCAGTTGTTTCAGGGGAGGATGCATTTGTCGTTGTGACTGAAGGTTCCTGATATAGGAGCTCTAATAACTCGTTACACCATGACTATGCCATCAAGTTGTGTGGAAAATCCAGGATTGAGCAATAAGCTTTCTGGCTGCTGACAGTCCCCCTAGCGATATCTTAAGAGTTGCTTAGCAGAGTAAAGGTTCAGGGGAGTCATTAAGAAGATGATGGTGTTGTGGTGATGTGCAGTGCCCCTCTCTCTAAGCATGGTTAACTGCTGTCACACTGCAGTGTGTTTGATTAGAAATACGAGTAGATGCCAGTGAAGTTCTGAACACTTTAATTATCCCTGCCACAAAGCTAGCATGCACTTTCAGGAGGTGGTTCTGAAACAGACATAAGTACAATTTATGGTTTAACTTTGCCTCAGTGATTCAAACATTTAGTAGATTACACAATACAACATGAATGACTAAACAGCCCTGGGAAGTAAGATTAACCTGTGCAGCAGTAGTACTGTACCTCTAACCATAATACAGTAACAACACTGCCCAGTATTTGGTTCAGCTTACCGTTGTGATGCACAAGCACAGCTACACAGCCTTAAGTCAGGCAAATCACCATATCTGCCCCATTCACACCTCACTGTTAACTTGTGTGCTTAACAATAAACATGGTGATGCCATATCACGCTGGTAGCTGCTATGTAAACATAGTAACAGTGATAGATTTATAGTAAAAGAGCTACGTTAGCATTCGCATGGCCTGGTGCACAGTAAGATAATTGTCATGTGTATGTCAAGCTCCATGTAGCTTGACATACACATGGTAAACACACAACAGTCGCATTTACAACATACAGAAGAACATCTTACAGGTTAGAAAAACACACACAGCTTCAACTGTCCAACAGAATCCTGCCCTGAATATTCCCATTGTCTATGACACTTTACTCCTCACCTGTGTGTGTTTGTGTGTGCGGGGGCTTGGCAGCACCAGGCCCCTCCCACGGCGCAGAGCAGGGACAGTATGGATGAGGATGTGACGGCCTTTGTACCATGGGAAGGTTCACTTTTGTCAGGATAGACAGTTTGTATTGTCTCTTGCCAGAAGCGTTGTACCCTTGGACAGTTTGCTAACATCACAGCCTGCATGACTGGGTTCTAGAGTGGGGTGAAGCTGCAGAGTTGGTGAACAGCCTGTGTGTTTGCCAAACAGTAGTACTGGTTGCTACAATAGTAACAAGTACAGCTTTAATTTTCTCCTAAACTGTCAACAAAATCATGTTTAGGCATGAATTTGAAAAGAAGAGTTCAGTGTTTCTTGTAAAATAGTTTCATTGTGGTTCCCCCACGTTCAGGAGTTTTGAGAGCGTTCATGTCGTCACACTTGCCCCTTAGGCTGCTGATTGTTCCAACGCTGGTCAGTAAGGTGCAGTGAATTCTCAGTGGAGATCCTACAGAGCTGATTATCAGCAAGTTTTCTAACCCAACAATAAAAGCACCTGCCCTGAACCAAAAGCAAAACTAAAACAAAGGCATGAATATCTTAATGACACATCTAGTCTTTTCCAGTGTGTTGTCAGGCATGACATAATGTAATGGCCTTTAATCCCTCAACGGGTGTGTAAGGGGAAAAAAGACACCAGGACATTAAGACCTCACGTTGTGCAGAGGATAAGGCAAGATGTTCTAGACAGCAGGCGACTGAAGTAACTGCTGACAACTGAACCATTCCAGCCATGTAGGGTTTAGAAGGGATTATAATGTGTAGGTTCCTAGAAGCCTTCAGACCCATGTTGTGTCAAAGTCAGCATGCCCTATAGCTGACTAAAGCATCAGCGTTTAATTATTAGCTGTA